AAAGCCAACAAGCAATAGCCAACATGCACACGGAAAGATGCTCACTATCACCAGTCATCAGGGAAACCAGAACTACCGTGACATAGCCCTTCACACCCACAAGTATGGCTATAATACAGAAGAGAAAAAGGAAAACAACAAGCTTTGGCAAGAATGTAAAAGAAATGAAATCCTCGTACATTGCTGGTAGGGATTAAAGTGATGCAGCCACTGTGCGAAAGTTTAGCGGTTCCTCAAAATCTAAATATAGAATTATGTTTAAATTCCACTCCTAGGTGTATACCCAAATAATTGAAAACAGGTGTTCAAACAAAAACTTGTCTATGAATATTCATAACGGCACCATTCACAATCGCCAAAAGGCAGAAATAACCGAAATATCCATCTGCTGTTGAGTGGATAAACAAAATGTAGCATATCCACACAATGGGATATTATTCAGCCTAGAAAAGAATGAAATATTGATATATGTTACAGCACAGATGAATGTCAGAACATCTTGCTGCCTGAAAGAAGCCAGACACAAAAGGTCACATCTTGTGTGAGTCTACTTACATAAAATAGCCAGAAAATGCAAATCAATATAGAGGAAAAGCAGATTGGTGGTTGCCAGGGACTGCAAGGGCAGGAAACAGAGACTGCTTCGTGGGTACAGGGCTTCCTCTTAGAGCAAAAAACATATCGTAACTAGGTAGAGAGGATGGTTGCACAACACTGTGAATATACTAGATGTCACCGGACTGTACGCTTTACGTCGGCTAGTTTTATGTGATGTGAATTTTTACCTCAATAAAGATAAATCATCTCAGGACCAACACACACCATGCTTTGGCAGACACCTTCCTCAGCCTAGCATCCGAGTGCCTCATGGATAATAACATTTACAAAAACAAGAATAAGCAACATTTGTTGAGTGCTGTGTACTATGCCCTTTCCCAAGTGCTTCAAGGCAGTAACTCCGTTAATCCTCCTAATAACAAGAGATTGGGATCACTGTTATACTCATTTCACAGAGAGGGAAACTGAGGCATGGAAATGTGAGTAAATTGCTGATGTCACACAGCCGAGAAGACGACACAGCTTCTTCTTCTCAGACCAGGGAGCAGACACTGCCGGGGAATAGGTGGGGTGTCGGGAAGGGGGTGATAGAAATAGGAACATTCCAATGAGTGCCCATTGACAAAGGCTTCCTAACTCTATACTTTGTATTAATCATGTCTCTTGATTAAATACTAGTCCTGCATTTCGTGGGTCCCATTGTGCTAAATTACATGGTGAGCATGTATTGCAAATTACACTCATTATTAGAAGTTACACAGCAACATTTATACTAATTAAGTTGGGTCTCATTTTTTTAGTTCTAATTTTAAAACACTGGCAGAACTCCAGAGCCTGATGTCCGCGCGTGAACTGCCACAAATGCATGGAGTAAAATGTAGTTTTAATTTGTAGCTGTTCAAGATTATTTCACACTTAACAACTACTCATTGACATTATGCTGCTCCCTTTCTTGCTTCTCTGTTATCAGCACAGATGCAACAGTATTGTTTTAACATGAGTTACACAGCATGCTTTAGAATCTACGGTGCTAATGTGTCTAATGTATTGGAAAACATTTTTAAAAGTTTGTTTTCTCAAAGCACAACTAACTTGAAAACGTTTTTTCCCAAAGAAATAAAAAAATGACAACCATCCGGTATAATTAGGAGAACACAAAGAGAGAAATAGCCACAAAAACAATAATAACCACCCTCTATGGAGCTTGCTCACATACAGAAGAGATGCTGAATAGTTTACAAGAATCGTCTCATCTACACATCTTCGTCACCCACCGAGGAAGATGCCACCTTACAGAGGTCGACTTGTCCTCCCAGGTCACTTAGCAAGGAAGTGACAAACCAGGATTTGAACCTGGTATCTGAGCCAAAGCCCCATTCCACTTTTCAACACTTCCAACCGTGTAGCTGCGGATGTGTGTCTGGAGAGAGATGAAACATATCATACGTAAGACATGTGACTCCCAGATACCGCAAAGCCAACTGATGTTGGGTCAATCATCAATTCATTTTCACCCATTCAGAAGTGACCAGCAAGAGCATATACCAAGCGCCAGGCAGGTCTCCAGGAGCTGGGAAGACAATAAGCAAAAGTGGGCATTGGTCCTCCCACTATTCATGGTTCTGAGGGCATGACCTTTCCTGCCAACCCACGCACTGTCGTGTTTTTCCTCTTCCGTACCTGTTCTGAATGCTAGGGCCCCTGGAATTAGACAGTGATCCCCACCCCTGACTTTCCCCTGCATTCTCTTACCTACACGCATCCCTGGGCAGCTCTCATGTAGGTGGCCCCCTCTGTACAGCCTCCTAGAAACCCTCTGTCCTCACCCACATAGCCTCATCCTCTACTTCCCCTGTATCCCCTCAGCCCTGGGAAGTCACGGCAAAAAAAAAAAAAAAAACAGTCGGGAAGCAGTCCAGGGTCAGCTGAACACGGTCACTCTCATGACGGCTCAGCTCTTCCCTGAATAGACACGTGGGCTCTGGATTTTGGAGGGGGCAAGGGCTGAGACTGCAGCTTCCCGGGGCTCACAGTCCTGCCTTGGCACAGCCTGGATCTGGCGTTCCAGAGGCAGGAGACAGGCTCTCCCAGGTACAAGTGGAGCCGGGGACAGAACTGCCGTCCAGCCTGCAAAGATCAGGCAAGAGGGAACACTGCCATCCCACTGCTGCTGCCAAGCGAAAGGAGGTTTGTTTATGAGGGACAGGAAAAAGGAGAACCCAGTGTAAACCCATAGCCTCTTCCTCCTTGAGATCCCTGATAACATTTCCAATGCTGACCCTTATTCCAGTTGTTTACAACGCTGACTCTTATTCAAGCTTCCTCACGTTGGTCCAGCTAACATGTGGAGAATTTTCACAGCAACTTGTGTTCCTAATACCAAGAGCTTTCCCACCCGTTACCTCCCAGAACATTTCAGCACCCCCTGGGAGATCCTCCGGGTCAGGAAAGGTAGGGCACAATCCTTAGTTTGCCTCAATGAGGAGTTTCCTCAGGACCCTGGGGCCTAAGCAGGTGCCAGCCTCTTCCTGGGCATGAGGATCAGGGGTCTTCCTGGTGTGCAGACGAAGAAGACACCCCCAGGTTCGTAACTGAACACCACGCACCACCAAAAAGTCCCCAAATAAATGAGCTGGGAGTTGGAAGATTTAAGTCATCATCAAAAAGGAGTAACATTTTACAAAATGCCCAGAATCCACTCAGTGTATGGGCAGGATAAAAATACTACATACAAAGAAAGTTCCGGCACTCTACCTAAGTCCACATTTTACTTGTATGAGTTTTTCTCCAGCACACTGACAACCAAGCTGCTCGGTGTAGAAGCACCCTTAAGGCGAACGCTCCTTAAAAACTTCCCACTTCCACAATCTTATTCCCTCAGTGCTGTGTGCTTTCCCACCCAGAGCACAGGCGTGCACACACATAATCAGATTTCTGGACACAGAGCAAATGGGATGGAACAGAAGCCAACTAGAAAGTAATGGAAGAGCCGGGCTCGGTGGCTCAGCCTGTAATCCCGCGCCTTTGGGAGGCTGAGGTGAGTGGATTGCCTGAGCCCGCGGGTTCGAGACCCGCCTGGGCAGTGAAACTTCATCTCTACAATAAATCAAAAAATCAGCCGGGCGTGGTAGCGCATGCCTGTAGTTCCGGCTGCTCGGAAGGCTGAGGCGGAAGGGTCGCCGGAGCCCAGCAGGTCGAGGCTGCGGTGGCCGGGAGTGGCCACTGCACTCCAGTCTGGGTGACAGAGTGAGACTCCCACTCAAAAAAAAAAAAAAAAAAAAGGTAATGGAAGCTCTTTCACATTCTAGGTAAACACAATTCGTTATTTTCCCCTAGCCTCTCTAAGATGAAATCGTCAAATATTCTCTCTCTTAGTGTGAATAAAATACAGCCAATATTTAAAGAGAACGGTAGAATCCACTCATGATGCTGCATGTGGAGACTCAAATGCACAGACAGACATTCTTGCCAGACATGGCTCTGAGTGAAGGGGGCATGGCCCAGAGATGGCAGCTGTCATTGGGGCACCATCACCTTCTGAGACGTGAATTATCTGAAAAGTTACCCAAGTGAGTGAGGCTTGGTGGGATTCTTACGGCATCAGAGATAACTCTTCTCTCACACGGAGTGCCAGAGCTGGGGGACCTCTGCTTTGCAGGAAAAAGACTGAGGTTTGGGATAAACTGATTTAAAGGAAGCACCACATAGAATGAAATCTAATATTTCCTCTCAGCAGGAAGCCTGGTCTCATTATAAGTATCAAAAACAATTCACAGGTAAGCCATATCTGAGCTTACCCACATAGTAGCAATTTGAAAACAATTTGAGCATTTATCAAATATATAGTCTCTGGGAGAACATGCTATTCATTCACAAGGTTGCATTCTTGAACCATACACAATATGCTTAAAAAGAGAGAGAGAGAGAGGCAAAAGGAACACAGTTAGAGAAAATCTTTCCTCCAATTTTGTGTTGTGACATTTCAAATCATTGGTTCGTCAGCTTCCATATCAAGTATTTCCTAAAATGCCTCTAACATTTCCATTTAGTTGAAAGGATACAGGTCCCAAATGGTAAGCATGTTTTCTTCGCTTAAAGAAAAATTTAGTTCTCATATCTTAAGCGAAAGAGAAATTACTTATATGTTAAAAGGCAATTCAATGAAGTAGAAAGACACAAAACAGCAGAAATCATAGGTACAGAACTGTTAGCCCACCACCTAACAGATGTGACGTTTTACAAACCAGTAGAGGAGTTCATGCATGAACTTGACAAGAAATAGAATTGCTGTGACATTCTCAAATTAGCCACAAGCAGCAACACTTGATATTAAATTAAAAAACTGTTGGAAAATGCATTTCTCTCACAATCTAAACCAGTGACAGAAGGAACATTCCAGAGATCTCATTTCGCATCTATATCGTGCTTCCATGGATACTTACAGAGCACGGCTTTCTGAGCAGCCCCTAGGTGATCAACTCGTTCAAACCCATGTCCACAGCACTGGAGTCTCGTTGGCTGATAAGCTGAACATTTCCAAGCAGGCTACCGATGCGAAAGCCAATACATTATTTACGTGGGTATTCCCTTTGTAATTTTCCTTCTGAGGTGGCAGCTGCCGGCACTCACACCGTCATCAGAAACAGAGCAAAAATCCAGCAGGGAAAAATGTATAGGCGAGACCGTGTATCTCTAGTTGAAATACATGCTTAAGAATAAATTTCTCATTCACAGCAGTGTGGTTTTTTTCTTTCTTTTTTTAAGTTTAAAATAAATCAGTAGGAGAGGTGGCATAAAATTTAGTCTGGCTGCGGAGAGCACTGCAACCCGCTTGTTGGATGGTGCAGTCGGCAGTCCCAGCTGGGTAATCAGAGTCCTTCTGTGCTCCGAGCTTGGAGAGGAACAGAAAGACACAGCACCCAGCTCCCAGGGCGAGCTGGAGTCACAGCACGCAGGGAGAAAGAAGGGATAGTGAACAGCCACAGTCATGATTTCCCCCGTGGTTCAGGTTCAGTTTTGAAAGAAAAATCATCGCCGATGGTATACTTTCAAAGAATCCTTCGAAAGCAAAACTCAACTGAACTACACATGAAGAAAACATGAAAAGACTTTCAAGCACATGTGTGACGAGTGCCTTTCCTCACATATGGTCTAGAGGTCTTTATTTTTTTTTTTTTTGCTGATTTTTTTTTAATTGTAGTAAGAACATCTAACAGGAGATCTACTCTGGTAACAAATTTTTAAGTGCATAACACAGGATCGGTGACGACAAGCGTGACGTTGTACCACAGAGCTCTAGAACTTGTTCATCTTGCATAACTGAACCTTTATGCCCGTTGAAAGCAGCCCTATCTCTCCCTCCCTGGGTTTAAGGAACAACGCTATTTCAGACACAGTGCTGCTTTGATGAGATTACTTCTCCTATCAGAGATGTCTTTCTTTCCCTCTACAGCCCGTCCTAAAACAAAAAGGGAAATGTACTTGCAAGTGTTACTCTTCATTCTGTTAGCTGAAAAACCGAAGCTCCTGCCGCTGTGGTCTACTCTCAAGTTCATTTCTGTGACAAAGTGTATTTTTTTTGAAAAGTAACTTATTTATTTCCCATTCTGTGGGTTGAACTCTATCCCTGGAAATACAGCAAATTCAGAAAGATGTGCCCTTCCCAGTGACACGGTTACTGGTGCAGGCGTTATCAACGTGCACCAATAGTTCCAACACAATTTCAAGCCTTTCAGAAGGGACAGAGACATACATGCACCAAAGCTGCATGTTGTGTTGGAAGGGTGGTTGCTGCAATGTCTTTTTTTTTTGAAAGACAATTATAATTCCTATGAGCAGCCCCAGGTACTCACTTTAATTTTGTCCTGAGAATTCGATTTGAAGTACTGTTTGCTGAGTACTTTCTAAGTGCCAAGGACTGTGCTGGAAATTCACGTATTCCATTTCATTCAATTGACTATCAGTTCTGCCTCCGATAAGGAAAAATCCCAGACAGCAAAGGACAGGCTTTAAAAGATGGCAGCACGGATCGCCAGCATTCCCAGAGATGCGCACTGTGTGGTGTGACAGTGACCAAGCTTTGAACAGCTACCGCAATAACGGCATGGATGGAATGCCCTTGGCACTTCAGCTTCCCATATCGCTGCCTTGCCTTTCTCGGTGACTTCGAGGATCATGTTTGTTGCCTGCGAATTTCCTCTGTTTTCTAAAAACTCCCCTGCCTGTTCATTTTCTGTTGATAAGGAATTTCTGAAACAATCACCGAAAACCATCTCTGCCGCAGACAGCCAATGCTACTGACGGCAACAGGATTGGAGATCTCTTTCTATTCCCGAAGGGACCCATTATCTCCACTGGTTGCCATGGTGATGTTGCAGTGTGGCTGCTGTGTGTTCCACCGCTTCCCATCGCAGTCACACCGCACACTTAAATCAAACCGCGTGTGTCACGTGGCACCGGCTGCATGAAACTTAGTCCATCGAACTCTTAGCTTCGTCTCCCAGTGATGACGAACAGTGGCAGGTGGAGGTGTCCACGCATGCTGGTGTAAATGTGACGGAAGCAGTATCATTGCAAAAAAGAAGGGATCTCTTAAAACACATTCATTTATTCCCCTTATTAAGCCATTTAAGGAGAGGGTTTTTACTATTATCAAGAGCTTGAGGAATGGTTTTCAAAAAGCGGAAGGAATAACAGAAATGTGTTGGGAGTTCACTTTAATTGAACTCTTGCCATATTCATGTTTGAGAATCTCCTAGCATCTCTTTTATGTGTGCTGGTGTACACACCCCCAGACACATATTCATGGACTTATATTAATCCCCGAGGCCTCTACTGTATGAACCCTGCCTTAAAAATATATGTGAATATTATTGATTTTGCCTCTCAGTCTTCAATGCCCTGGTCTCCTGATGAGTGCGCTATGCGAGTGCTGAACTGAACTTGAACTCAAGGCCAGTGGTACTCTGCAGCTCCAGCCCGTAAGTCTAGGTGGTGGGAAGGAAGCTGACGCCTCACGGCCCAGCAGCCGCACAGGGACATGGGAGGGATGACCTTGAACTCAGAGCCCTCTCTGGAGCACCTGAATTTTGGAACGTTACCTGTGAGCAAACTCAGAGTGTACCTGCATGCTCAGGGCAGTGGTCAGCTGTTCCTAGCTCTTGTTGCAAATGATCCTGAGGATTGACTTTGACTCCTGGGACTGGTACCCTTGATCACAAGGGGAAAAATTAACTGGATTGGACTTCAGAGGCTGCTCTTTGCAAAGGGTGATTTACAAAAGCCAAACTTCAAGGAAAATGTTAAATCTAAGTTTGGCCCTAATTCATTAAGTTAACATGTGTTTGGGTCACACTGACGGTTGTACCGTGATCTTTTTTTCCCCTTCTTATTTGTTTGTTTGACTTTTGCTTCGTGTGTTTTTCTTTTATTTCTTTGTCTTCTTTTCTTTTCCTTTTTTTTTCTTTTCTTTCTTTTCCCTTTCCTCTCCTTCCCTCCCTTGCCACGACACTGTTAAGATTGGCCTGGCTTGACACTGAGAGGGTTTGTTGCTTTAGAAATAAAAAGAAAACTCTCTCCACATAGGAAAAAATGTTGTGGGGGGCCTCTGAAACGAAGGCTGCCACAATGAATAGACACACTTTGTACAACACCCACTGCAAAAAGAAATGAGGGCTGCAACATTTACAGGAACTCCCAACAGCCGTGACATGCCAACCCTGTTTGTGTGAGCGTGGAACCCAAGTGTGGCTGGCTAGAGCCGTCGGTGGGTCACCCGGCCTCCTCCTGCACTGGAAAGAAAAGTCTTCATGAGCTCAGCTGCTGACATGAAGGCCAGGAGGCACGTGAGCTGACGGGAATGGACTGCCACGGGCTCCATAGTGAGGGGCCACAGTCCTAGAAACTGGGGAAGTGCAGGTATATACACTCTCAAGAGGATTCTCAAATTGGAGACTGCATTGCCAGGACTGAGCGATTTGAATAAACTTTAATTCAACAGTTTGGATGATTTGGGGAAAATCGGGGACACCACTGTCTTCTTTCTCATCCTATCCACAAGTGTGCAGCATGTAACAAGCACCCATCCCAAATCCTCTTTTCGGGGGGAGGCGAGTTCAGGGTCTCACTGTGTCACCAAGGCTAGAGTGCAACGGCACAATCACAGCTCATTGCAGCTTCAACCGCTCAGACTCAGACGGTCACTCCACCTCAGCCTCCCCAGCAGCTGAGACTACAGGTGCATGCCACCACGCCCAGCTAATTTTTATTTTTATTTTTAGACACACGGTCTTGTTATGTTGCCTAAGCTGACCTTGAACTCCTGACCTCAAGCAATCCTCTCACCTTGGCTTCCCAAAGTGCTGGGATTATAGATGTGAGCCACTACACCTGACCCCAGATTTTACTCTTAGGTGCTTATTTTCTACTGTGGTAACAGTGATTTTGACAAAGCAGGTTTTGAGACCCTCCACTTAATATACTATTATGTGAAGGGGTGTCTTTAGTTTTTTAAACTGCCTTTGGTGAAATGTAGGTAAAGCTACGTGTTGCCAAGCAACGGGAAGTGTCCATCTGATATCGCATGTCCTCCTTAGAGACGCTTTCTCCCTTCCAAATAATTAGATATTCACTGTTCCATGTCTTCATGGGGTATAACACAGGGGACTTAACATGATCCTGAGAGGAAAAGTGAATTGTGTTGATTCCTTGCAACAAGATGTCCACGACAAGAATTTTCACAGAGACACTAGGCTCTCGAAGACCAAGGCTGGCATTTGAGACAAGAGCAGGTGGGCTATCCGGCCAGCTGACCACAGAATCATGAACCAGATGAAGATTAGGGTCCCCTTTTGAGAAGAAAGATGTGCAAGTTTGTGTGGCCTGAGGTTGATGGTCGGAGCCTTTCTGACTCCCTGGAGTGGCCTGGAGGGGGAGGAAAAGTTGGGTAAGGAAGGGGTCTTTGCCAGTGCCTGTTCCTCTGCCCTGATGGAATATGTACCACAGGACTGGGCTGTGGTCAGATCTGTTCTTCTTGGTGGACAGCACCTGCCGCTTTTATTTGTAAATATATTTTTACATTTGTATCTTTTTAAGTAGAGACAGGGTCTCGCTATGTTGCCCAGGCTAGTCTTGAACTCCTGGCCTCGGATGATCCTCCCTTCTCAGTCTCCCAAAGCCCTGGGATTACAGATGTGAGCCACCATGCCCAGCATGACCTGCGGTTTTGTATATCAAGAGGGCCCTGCTTTTAAGTACATCTTTAAGTGACTGACTTTAAGCCATATCCCTTTTCGAGACACAGAAGTTCAATGCTGGTAGGTGGCTTTGTTTGGTAGGCACAACCCTTAGGTCTTAAGAATCCCGAGGGCCTTGAGGAGAAAAGAACTGCCATCAGAAACCAAAATTGAACCAAAATGTGTAGGCTGGCCCAGTTTGGGGACAGTACCGCCCTGGAGCAGGGCTGTCCCCTGCCTTCAGACAGAAAGTCAGAAGTACCCCCATATCCATGTGACATCTACCTGTATGGCCACAGAACAAAGCAAACCCGGTCACATCAGTGAAAGAAATCACTGAAGCCAGCCTGGGTGTTACACAGAGAAAATCACTGAAGATTTACTGAGATTACACTTGGGGGTGTTAGCTGA